AGTCATCAAACTTTTACCTGTATGTCATTATATATATATATATATATATATACATATATATATTGGTGATTTGTCACTGAACAAGCTAATGTTGATTGTCTATGCTTTCATGTTTTCTTTTCCTTATAAATGATAAATAATGAAGATGAAATTTGAACTTAAAATCTTACGATAAATTATAAAAAAATTTTAATAATTAGCCTAACTGACATATTCTTCTATATATTTTTTAGGCTTTTAAAAAAAGAAGTATGCAGATTGAGCAGCTAATGTGTCAGTCAGCTGCCGTTCACAACAATGGAGAGCCATGGGATCTCATGTTCAAAATCCTAGGGATGTGTCTAATACAAAGAACGTTCAACCTATTGCGAAGGGCAATAATTTGTCGATGCTTGCCATGTTAATGATCACTTTTCTATAGCAGTTTCATTGCCAGATTAATCAAAGCCAAAAACATGTTCCTGGTGACTTGTAATTCCAGCGACACCATTTGTGCTCAGGTTGATGTACTTCTTCTAATAATAAAATATAGGAGGAAGAAGAGAGGCTCCATGTTTCTTGCACTTTAATTACTATTAGTGCACGAGCAGCACGACCCGGTGACTTGTAATGTCCAACTGGCTCGAGCTGACGATATATCAACTGTGTATTATTCATATTGGAGAACTAACAACTAATGCAATAATATAACATTATGATAAACATCATGATGTGTCAATAGAGATATGGAGTTAGAACACAGAAGATCATAGCAATATCACAGGGATTTTGAAAGATCCACAAGCAGGTATGTGGATGATTTTTATTTTTCAATTAAAGAGGTTTATCAATCAAAGCTTTTCCTGTATGTCATATATAAACATTGTCTATAAATGTATCCATATATGAATATACTCATCTTGTGTCGTATGTTCTGATTTGTGACTCAGAAAGTTGATTTTATTAGGTAAATTCTAATTCATATCCATTTGATAATGCCATCATGCATTATTTATACTTATCGGTCAGACTTTGTCTGATCTTAGTAAGGCTGACATTTACATACCATCCATATCTGTGTCGGTGATCTGTCACGTTGGCTACTGTCAGTTGTCTATGCTTCCATGTCCTTTTGTTGCTACAGAGAAAGGAAATCTATTGAGAGTCGAATACAAATTGGGCAGCTGTTTTGCCAGCTGCAGTTCACAGCAATGGAGGCCATGGGATCTCCCAAAAACAGCAAGTTTACGAGGTACCATGTTAAAAATGCTAGGGATACGACTGATAGAAAGAACATTCAACCTATTGCGACGGGCAAGAATTTGTCCATGCTTCCATGTTAATGATCACTTTTCTGTAGCATTTTCTTTTCCAGATTAATCATAGCCAGAAACATGTTCCTGGTGACTTGTAATTCCAGAAACACCTTTTGTGCTCATGGAGAAGGAGAAAGAAAGAGACTCATGCCAACTGGCTGTAGTTATATTAGATTATTTGATCATTTATAATTGTATAAGATATATAATAAAACTAATTAAATTTTAATAATAAATATGGATTAATAGAAAGAAAGTTTATGTTATAAGAGAAATATTTGAGGGATGCTCTTGAGGAATTCATCTAATAACTTATCTTAGACCCTCTATTCTCATCTATAAATAGATATGACCCTTTAAAGGCTATACGATGCATGTCATAGAGGATCCAGTCGAGAAATTACGATTTCTCTCTCAATCTGAGAAGGAGAATCAATTTCTCCTTACAGATTGATAGTAGGTTTTTGGATCTAAAGATTATGCTCAGATCACACAGAGATTTTTTTTAGATGACATCGAAAGGTACATATCATAAAAACCAATCTAATGTTATTTGATTTCAATCCTAATATAAAAGTTTTTTTATATTTCATATAGCATATCATATATTTTATGCTTACAATTGGTATCGGAGCTTAGGTTTTTTAAATCAAATATCTTAGATCTATTGTTTTCTGATTTACGATGTTTGAATGATCCATGTATTATCGATTTATCTTTCTATTAATCGGTGAGATTCTTTGTATAATTGTTTTCCACGATTGTGAGGCAACAACGGTTGCACTGGCTGCATGGCAAGATCATATCATAGTATGATTTCTTATAAGATGTTTTTGATGAGAAGAACTCTCATAATAACTTATTCTAGACTCTCTGCTCTCACCTATAAATAAATAATACCTCTAGAGATATACGATGCATGTCATAAAGGACACAATTGAGAGATTAGAGTTTCTCTTTCAATCTTACAACGAGAGTTTAGTTCTTTGATATAAATAAGATACCCAAATTACATTAAGATCTTTTTTAGATAACATCAAAACATACATATTGTAAAAATCAATCTAATATTATTTGATTTCAATCCTAACATACAAATTTTTTCACGTTACATATAAACATTTTATATCACTGTATCGATAAGTGCTGGACCACGTTACGCAACAACCAAACGAAGATAAACACGGACATGCCACTCCACGTGCTCCGGACAGGATGACTGACGACACGATAAAGTATACTATTATTGACGCCGAAAGAGATGGTGACAGAAATATTATTATCACGGCCTATTTAGATGTTCTGATCCGGTAGCATGGAGCTCAGCGGATGCCAAAGCAAGACAAGCTCTTAAAAGACAGATACGTAGATGGCCTTGAAGGTAGAGCAAGCCCTTCATATGGTTGGAGGAGCCGGAGAAACCAGCTACGCCACTAATTCCAGACTTCAAGTTAGTCGTCTTCCTCGAAGTAGTGTTGTTAGTTGAATCAATCTTCGGTTTACTGAGTTGCTTACTGTGTTTGTATTCAGGAGAAAGCGCTTTATAGAACGAAGCCCATATTGGAGACCGCCATAGCTGAGTTGTACCGGACGCTACTCCCTGAGAGGATGGTCGTCGTCGACCTCGGTTGTTCGTCGGGTCCGAACACCTTTCTTGTGGTCTCTGAGGTGCTTGGCATCGTCGGTGACCTATGCCGAAGGCTGGAACAGAAGCCACCGGAGATCCAGTTCTTCTTGAACGACCTCCCGGGAAATGACTTCAATAATGTCTTCCGGTCTTTGGAGAGATACGAGAAGAAGATGGAGGAGGAGAAGGGGGACCTGCTCGTGCCTCATTACGTTGTGGGCATGCCCGGCTCCTTCTACGGGAGGCTTTCCCCGCGTAACACTGTTCACATCTTCCACTCTAACTACTGTCTCATGTGGCTCTCTCAGGTCGATCACGACTGTGCTTTCTCACGTCCTGCGTGCGGTGTTGCACTGTGTTGATGTTCTACTACTGATCATGAACTATGTGTCTTAGGTTCCACAAGGTCTCGAGAGTGAGCAGGGTGTTCCGCTGAACAAGGGCAACATCTATATTGCAGAGAACAGCCCACCCCAGGTCGTGAAAGCATACCAAGAACAACACCGGAGGGACTTCTCCACGTTTCTCAAATCTCGTTACGTGGAACTAAGCATCGGAGGGGGAATGGTATTAACATTCCTAGGAAGAAAAAGCAAACACCCAGCCAATGGCGAGTTAAGCTCTCTATATGGACTACTCGCAGAGGCCCTTAATGCCATGGTCTCACAGGTACCTCAAATCTTCACCTTAAGGAATAGAGAGAACACTGTTTTTCCTTCGCAAGGTTAAAGAAGAGAGCTGACACGAGTCATTGTTTATTGAGTTCAGGGAATCATATCACAAGACAAAGTGGCCACCTTCAATTTGCCGATTTATGGGGCATCAATGCAGGAAGTGAAGGCAGTGATCCACGACGAAGGTTTATTTTATTTGGAACAAGCACAGATTTTTGAATCCAACTGGGACCCGTTTGATGGCACAGACGACGACGATACTGTATCAGACAATGTACTGAACGGGAAGAACGTGGCGAAGTGTATACGGGCTGTGTTTGAATCCTTGATTGCACATCAGTTTGGCGCCGCTATACTGGATGAGTTATTCGTACGATATGCCGAGAAGGTTGCGAGGCATCTCCTCAAAGAGAAAACCAAGTACACCGTTTTAGTCATTGCCCTGAAGAAAAAAGCTTGAGAGTGAACAAGCATGCATGCACGCAAAACTTGATGCAAATTCATATGTAGAAAAGTATGCATCCGTTAATGCAATAAAAATACGTACATTGTGAATCACCACGTTTGGTCTGCTGCACATTTGACTTCACATTATCGTGGCATGTATGGGTAACATTATGGCCAATAAAACTTAGCTCTGCACCTGATTAACATGTGGTGTTGATTTGCTGCAGAAATGTCAGGCAAAATCCTGCTTATTCCTGAAAGGTCATTAGATTTAGGCATCCATGACCACCTAAAGCTGGATGATTTGTAGTGCACATGACGGACTTTGCCTCTTCGTCCACATGCCATCACTCAAGAGGAATAGACAATCCAACTCTTAGTCTCCTGACTCTATCTATAGATAATCTTTTTATTCATGAAAAATTATCTTTATAAATTTAGATTTAGGCATATATGACCACCTAAAACTAGTTGATTTGTAGTCCTCACCGTAAACTTTGCCTTAGCCACATACCATCACACGAGAGGAATTGTTAATCCAATTCTTATGTATGAATATGCTGAATTTTGAGAGTTATTCAATTCTGAGTATAGCATCAAATCTTAGAATCTTAGAATGATGAATATAAAGCATAACCTAATGGTAGCTTTATATTGTCATAATTTTTCAACTCCATACTATTTTTCTACTTGAATTTTCTTACCATGCCCAAGTATTAGATCAATATTAGATTGATTCTAATATCAAATATCATGATCGAAACTTGATGGGCTAATTGGCCTATCAACTTTGTTCGACCTAAATAATTATTTGAGATAGTAATCAAAGTCGTGAGTGTAATGCTCAATTAACATATCTAAATGATAAGATGTTTGACGAAGGATGACATGGCATGGCATGGTTCAATTTCAAATTTTAATTGATAAATATTTTTAGTATAGTAACTAAAACCTCCATTAGCAACAACAGGTACTTTATCACTAATATATATATATATATATATATATATATATATATAATAATACTAATAATAATAATAATAATAATAATAATAATAATAATAATAATAATAAGAGGTATTATTATTTGCACCGTACGATTACAAATGATCAACGTCATCTAATACTACGGTAAAGATCAATTAGATTCAACTCAACCTCATAGAAGGAAACATCGACTGTTTCTTGGATAGGATGTGCGACGTTGGTGAACCCTATCGAGGGAAGCATGCTGCCATTGGAGAAATCTCTAAAGATAATAACAGAAATCATCCTTTCTCGCGAGCACGACGCTGATGTCCCTATTTATGTTTGACGGCGGGCAAACGACTGCGGTCGACACAGGTGATGAATGACGGTCAGGGGGTGAGTGAACCACGACATCCTGGTATGAGGCTAAATCTTCCTCGTCTCTCTCTCCCTCATCCTTCCTGTCGCAGAAGCTGAATTCTTCCTTCTCCATCGCTTATAAGATTTCCTCTTTGAAACCCTAAATCCAATTCTGGATGTCTTTTAGTTTGGCCATGAAAAGGTGGC